ATATGTACGTCCTCAGCAGGGGGTCCCTGACATACTAGATAATAGTGACACACTTGATAAAGATACTTGTAAAAAAGCAATTATATATTGGTTACACATACATACATGTAACATATATGTACGTCCTCAGCAGGGGGTCCCTGACATACTAGATAATAGTGACACACTTGATAAAGATACTTGTAAAAAAGCAATATATTGGTTACACATACATACATGTAACATATATGTACGTCCTCAGCAGGGGGTCCCTGACATACTAGATAATAGTGACACACTTGATAAAGATACTTGTAAAAAAGCAATATATTGGTTACACATACATACATACATACATGTAAGCTCTAATGAAAGCTATCATTTTATATAAAGATTAAATACATGTTTATATTTTAGTGGGCGATTCAAATTAGATAACGTGTCCACATTGAACTTCGGTTCAATTCTCAACGTATTGAATGAATGTTATCTTTTACCGGAAGTAGCAAAAGATAACAATAATACAAATAAATGTCGAACGCCAAACTCCTTCAAGGTAAGTTTATAATTACTATATGATATGGATATTGTTCTTTGTTGAAGCCCTTATGGTGACTTATAGTCGATTACATCGTCGTCCTTTAATTGGTCCCACTCGTGGATAGCTTTAACAGTATAGTTTTGAGATAGTATTTAACATATCGAAATTTGAAAGGCTCGCATAATTGTGTTGCCACTGATATTATTTGCCGACGGGAATTATCAAAAGGCGGTCTCAAAGTAATAACAGTGTTTCCATAACCAAATTTCAATAATTTATCAAAAACTTTGAAATTCAAAGTTTGAACAGTAATCCATTGAAACCAACTGTAAATACCAGTGTATAAATATGATTTGAAGTGCAGAGGGTAAAATTAAAGAATGCGATGAACATTTCTCTTTGTTTTTTACAAAGGGCAACAGTGACGTCTCCGAATATTTGCAAAAATATATTTGACAATAGGCAGGGGCGGATCAAGGATTTATGAAGAGAGGGGGGTATGGGGTAGGGTGGGGGGTTTAGGCGTAATTCCATAAAACGTAATAGATAAAAAAAAAAGCAAAAATCGTGATTTGCGATCAAAAGGGGGCGTACGCCCACTACACTCTATCCTGGATTCGCCTCTGATAGGGGTGCTGATTTTCACACCAAGCTGTATTTTGAATAAAACAGTGTTATTATACAGCAAACAAGTAAACGAATTGACCTTTACATCTTTTAAGCACAATAAATGAAGTTTTCAAAAGGTTATAACTACCTTGTTTTTTATTTTAAATCTGTGTTTCTTATATTTCCCAGGTAGAACCAATTTTAGAGTATTAGCCTAAGTTTAGTTGATTAGTTTAGTTGTTTAGTTTTTTAACAAAATTAAGTAGTTTCTTGTATTTTTGTTTCATTTAGCTTGTATTTGAAATTGCTAGACACAATTTAATTTTTATTTTCGTATTTTCTGAACAATATACGGGAAATTGCATTCATTTTGTTCCTGTACTTATCATGACATTAAACTTTCTGAGAACTACAGCGACTGATATTACAGCGTTATACGGCATGAACTTAATAGCAGATTAAGTACTTAGCCTAGCTCTTGCTTTCAGAATCTGCGAAAACTCTTTGATATGATCTGATATTGTAAAGTATGGTTTTGATTGACGTATCTTATTGCAAAATCGGTGTTTTTCTTAACTTTTGCTTATACCCTCTCCCACCCGCTCCGAAGGAGGGGGATATATTGGTTAGCGAACTACGATACAGAACACCATGAAATTTACCGTGCAATGTATTTTCACATACATGTACATTACTCCTCAACATCCTGTTTACCGCATACACTTAAAGCGTGAGTATCTTCAGTGAATAGAAGTTCACAGTTCAACTTGTTCAACCATCTGAGTGTGTACCTTATGTTATTCCGCGGATCGAGATAAAATTAGGGGAAAGGGCGTAATTATAAAAAACCCTACTCTAACCCCGCTACATATCGATCTGCCTGTCAGAATACATTATTAGACACCGTTGTTTTGTTGAAGATCATATATCTTTTATGACTTTTGTTTTAATCGGTTGTTGTCCCATTGACGAATTATACTCCTCATTGCTTTTATACATTGTTAGACTGCTGGAACTTTCCTATCTTGCAAGGTAATTTTTTCTCTATGCTTAAAAATAATAGAGTTTTTTTTGTATCAAATTCTGTTTGCTTTTACTTTCCAAATGGATCTATCAATTGTTTCTTGTTTACAATTTCTTCACAAGTGTCGATGCAGGAGATTTCACCTATTTATAGACTGTCGATTATAATCTAGTATATGATATACTGTAATACTGTCAAATGTTAGGTCGGAAATGTAGTTCTCCTTATAGTTTAAACATTATTTTATTCACATAAATCAACATTAAACGATATGATACAAATGAAATAAATATTAACGATTCAGAAACAAGCAAATTTGCTTTTACAAATCTGTCTCCTTTTACACAAATAATACACTTATTGAACAATACATAAGTATAAATACTGGCATGCTCTGTAAGAAATATATGAATATGAAAAAGTAGAAAATACATTAGAGAAGAAGAAGAGGAAAAAATACAAAAATAAACATGAATTTTTGTAATGTATACAGTGTGAAATGTTTGGGTTCCTATTGAATGATGAAGCAGTAACATCAAGGGTTAAAACGTTTGCTTTTGATAATATATTTCTGCACCAAACTAAATAAATGACTATTTTGCTCATCTGAGAGTACCGTTGTGTTGAAAGTCTGTCCAATAACTAAAAGTATTTTTGTTTTAATATCTCCCTTTGTAAGGCAGCTAATGACAATATAATGAACTTGCCATCACACTTTGTAAATTGATTTAAATAAATTTATGGACTATTCTAGCATCTTAATATATCAGAACAAGATGAACAAATATTGTACGAAGAGACAAATACTTCTGCACCATAAATGACCTTCGTCAGTGTCGATCGATTTTTTTTTATGAAATAATACTGTCAATTATATGACCAAGCTGTAAATACATTATATTCCCTTGATAATGTTAAAGTGCTTGTATCTTTTTATGGTAATTTTGAGTTTTAACCTCCACTTTTGAATTTATAGAAAAAATAAGATTGAATACTTACTGCATGTTTTTGTCCTTATATATCATAAAAGAGATAAAAGAGGCCAATTTCCCCCGAATTATTTCACAAAAAGGGTATTAGCAAAAGGTTGTCCAATCTTTGTTTAATTTAACAATATCACAGCTCTAAACATAATTTATGGTCGAATTTCTAAGGCTTAACGGTATCTCAAAATCGATATTTTGACTCATTTTGGCAAATTTTGAGTATTTTAAATAAAAAATGTGGAAGAAGGACATCCTGAACCAAAACTAAAAATCTGTTGAAATTAAAGCTATGGATTGTCTGTCTGACATATAACGCTGACTGATATCTGTATGTAACGAAAGTGTGTGAGTGAGGAAATACATGGGACATTGACCCTACCTTATTCAAAACTAATTATACATATTTAATATATATATTCATATATCCAATGATACAAAAAACTAAGACGTCTAAAACATAGGTTTTATCTAAAACAATGATTAACAACTATTTCTGTCTGTTTATGCCATGTGAAGAGAGAGTATTGAGTTTCTTTGTCCAAAATATGTTCTGATCATCCTGCTGGTTATCATTTCAGTGAATAATAATTTCTATCACAAAATAATCCATGTTGTTACTAGGGGATGTTTAACGACCTTGACTACCCATGAGGGTCTCGCACGGTCGGTTATCCATGTTGTTGAAATCATCGAATGCTTGAAGTGTTGGTTCACTGTGCGATAATGTTTTTTCTTTAATTGCCCTTTTGCCCGTTGTGTCGTTTGCGGAATGGCTGAGTTAACTCTCCACATATTGGAAACCCAGACGGAACATTCCAATATGTAAATGATTGGAACTGTTGAAGAACACATACTATATTTTTTAGTTCTTATGGGTGATATTACTGATGAATGTCGATTGCTGTACATCTTTATGCTGTATTAACAGAATATGTGATCACATCAATAAAATTTATTTGATTTGGACACAGTGACGTTTGTCCTCTCACTAATTTGATAATTATTCATTATCGTCTTTACAGATATTGGTTTCTGACCATTAAATACAAGACTTTCGCTGCTGCTAAAATATTATCTAAATTCAAATAGTAATGAAAACGAAAACATAACAGAATTCTGTTAGTAGCCAATCGTCACCAAATTATGCAAACCTTATGTAAAAATGTAAAGTTATTATTCACGTGTTGGTACCTTAAATATTCAGGTTTTTATTGTGTATTTGACTTTAACGACAAATGGGGAGGTTTGTACTATTTATAAACTGTTCCAAAACGAGGCTATCTGTACCATGTGGTGTATGTTGGTTTGGGTCTCTGTTCGTATATCTATTTTGTTGAGGACTCGCTGTTATTGGTTGATTTTGACTGTTGCACTTTCCATTAGTTTTGTGAATTCTCGATACCTTTTCATGTAAAATTAGATGGGTTGAAGAGTAAAACTGGATAGTGACGTTGTATTTGGACTTATATAAACATAACGTTGTTTGAATCAATTTTTGAAGCCCGCAAAATGTATGCATACCATCATTAGGGCTGGTGTTTAAAAGCCCTCATCTGTAATGCATGTGACTTGAGTATCATTGGCTACTTTATTATCAGGTGCGGATCCATGACTTTGTAAAAGGGGGGGGGGGAAGGGGGGGGGGATTGGGGCTCCACGGCAAGTCAACGTTTTGAGTAATACTTATAAAAATCTACGCATTTGTCATATATGCCTCCCCTAAATCCGACTCTGATTATCATACCATGGATACAAATCTTTAATATAATCGTGTGTCTAAATAGTGGAAATAAAGCAAATAATCGTATTTGAATACCTTATGTTTATCTATTACAGGAACATGGTTCGAAAGACAACTATCACTGTTGCTTTTCTTGTGATGTGGATTTTATGGACAATTGTAAATCTAATATTCACAAATTATCCGAAATTCAACCTAAGGAAAATGCAACCTTCACCTAAAAATGACAGTTCATTCAATTTTACTATTTTAATGTATGCCCCACCTATTTATCCAAAAAATCATTACAAAATTAACTTTTTAAGGAAATGTGTCTTTGACAATTGTAAAATTAGCTTTGACCGTTCCTTGCTTCGTTATAGTGATGCTGTAATTTTCTTTTACAAAGAAATAACGTTTAAGCCACCGACTAAATTCCCTAATCAGACGTGGATATTAACAAATTTCGAGGCTCCTAACTTTAAGTCACCTGAAAGATATATTAAACTATTTAAATTTGATTGGACCATGTCTTATCGCCAAGACTCCGATGTGTATGTACCATATGGGGTTATAAAGGAGAGCAGAATGAATAATGAAAAGAATTATTCGTCAATATACTCAATGAAATCATATGACGTGGCTTGGATAGTCAGTAACTGTAAGACTAGATCCAGACGGGATGAATATGTTGAAAAACTTTCTGAATATATAGACATTGATATTTACGGTAAATGTGGATGGTATTCATGCCGAGGTTCAATTTTTCAATGTAAGAAGAGACTCAGTGAACGTTACAAGTTTATGCTGGCCTTTGAAAATTCATTATGCAAAGATTATTTGACAGAAAAGATATTTCATTTGTACCGGGACAATATTGACATTATTCCTGTTGTGCGAGGTGCGCCAAACACAGTGGAACACTTACCTAACAATACCTTTGTGTTAGTTTCAGATTTCAAATCTCCAAAAGATCTTGCAGACAGGTTAAAGATTATTGGAGGCAACGAGGCGCTTTATACCGAAATGTTAAAACAAAAAGACAAATACACAGCTTTTTCAGATCCAAATGAAGAAACGGGCATATGGGGTGTATGTAGAACATGTAAATTGTTGAATAATAATTATCAATCAAATAAGACAGTGGATATAGAAAGATGGCTATCAGGAAGGTCTTGTATTTTACCTTCCGACTTGTGATTACTTTCAATATTAGAACTACAAAATTATGTAACCAAATTTGTTTTTTTTAAATCATTGTTATATATATTTTTTGTCACAGTCAAGACAATAATCTAAATTTAATGACAATCAAGGTTTGAAATTCAATTTGTTATTAATATAGGTCTATGTATAGATATCACGTCTGTCATCATTTTCTTCTGATCGAATTGTTATCCTTGGGATGCTAATTTTATATCAAGTAGAGTGTGCACTCTCCTTCTCATACAGTCTCCTTGGTGAAACATACAGCGGCTACTAGTATGATTTAACTGGGAAAGACAAATCAGAATCATCTATTTTTAAAATGAATAAATAGATCAGAAACTATCTGTCCATATTTTGTTTGTAGTCACAGATTTACACGAACAAAGAGAAGAATTTTGATCATCAAGACTTTGACGTGTTGTTAACTGATATACTGGAAATGTATTATATTAAATGTATGAATTAGAAAAAGTATCAAAATATAACACATACCATGCATTTTCTGAATATAAACCAGTCATGCTGTATCATCTTTGGAATGTCTTGAAATGAAATTTTATTGACAGATTTAGATTTTTGAATTGCAATATTTATATAACTTTGCATAGTTTTCCCATTTTCAGTGCCTCCTTCTGTAGATTTTTTGTCATCTGGAAACAGCTTTGTAATTAAATTGGCCACATAATTGGAACTTATTCTATCTTACTTGTATTTTGTTCTTGCTACTGTTTACATTACTGTCTAATAATTATAGTTATATGTATATATATACAATAACTCTACCTTGCCTTGAGATCTGAAACAGACCCCTTTTTGACCTCTTCAGTAGTTATTATATAGTCTAGTCATTAACGTTTACTCTTTTTTATACTTACAGTTTATATTTTCGTTTTGTTCTTTTCATTGTGAGTAATTTAATATATTACGTCCCTACCTCACCTTAACATTTAAACTGTATCCCTTTTTGACCTACATTTCACATATTCTTTATGTACCTTTAACAATGTAAATATGTGCTACCGTTAAATTGACCTACAGTTACTTATATCCTTATATAGCCTAAAACCATTTTATACTTAAGTGGTATTCAATTGTACTTTTCTTTCTGTTGAAAATATATGCAGAAGAATTATTTATAACAAAAAACGCTTATATTTGTAGAAAATATCTTTTGGTTAACGCTTATTTGCTTTCGAATAACTTTAGGAAATATTGTACATTACATTATTCTGCAACCGGTATATTAACTATATGGTACCTTATGTTCCAGAAATTTTAAAACTCATTTATTCATTATTTTGATTCATTCATTGTTAAACAAATAATAAAATTGATGTCATTATATTAAGTTATAATTGAAAATATTCATTATTTTTTTTTTGGAAATGTTGTACCAGTATTAAAATTCAATGAACTTTGAAATTTAGGATTTCTCAGGATCGATTGTGTTTCACAAGATGCGAGCAAAATAAGTGTACAGTTTTGACTAAAAGGAAATAACGAGACAACAACACTATGACTATATGTTTCCAACAGTTGATACAATATGTCAAGCTCTAAATAAAATTGAGAATGGAAATGGGGAATGTGTCAAAGAGACAACAACCCGACCATAGAACAGACAACAGCAGAAGGTCACCAACAGGTCTTCAATGCAGCGAGAAATTCCCGCACCCGGAGGGGTCCTTCAGCTGGCCCCTAAACAAATATATATACTAGTTCAGTGATAATGAACGCCATACTAAACTCCAAATTGTACACAAGAAACTAAAATTAAAAATAATACAAGACTAACAAAGGCTAGAGGCTCCTGACTCGGGACAGGCGCAAAAATGAGGCGGGGTTAAACATATTTATGAGATCTCAACCCTCCCCTATACCTCTAGCCAATGTAGACGTAAATGTTCACTTAAATTTTTTTGATTGATGTACATGTGCATGATGAAACTATACTGTAGCAACACTATTGGTTGATTGATTGATGTACATGTGCATGATGAAACTATATTGTAGCAACACTATTGGTTGATTGATTGATGTACATGTGTATGATGAAACTATACTGTAACAACACTATTGGTTGATTGATTGATGTACATGTGTATGATGAAACTATACTGTAGTAACAATATTGGTTAACTGATTGATTAACATGTACATGATGAAACTATACTGTATCAACAATATTGGTTGTTTGATTGATGTACATGTGCATGATGGAACTATACTGTAGCAACAATATTGGTTAATTGATTGATTAACATGTGCATGATGAAACTATACTGTAGCAACAATATTGGTTAATTGATTGATTAACATGTGCATGATGAAACTATACTGTAGCAACACTATTGGTTGATTGATTAATTTACATGTGCATGATGACACTATACTGTAGAAACAATATTTAGTTGATTGATTGATTGATTTACATGTGCATGGATAACTATACTGGAGCAACACTATTGATTGATTGATTGATTGATTGATTTACATGTGCATGGATAACCATACTGGAGCAACAAAATTGGTTGATTGATTGATTTACATGTACATGATGAAACTATACTATAGCAACAATATTGGTTAATTGATTGATTAACATGTGCATGATGAAACTATACTGTAGCAACAATATTGGTTAATTGATTGATTAACATGTGCATGATGAAACTATAAAGTAGCAACAATATTGGTTGATTGATTTGCATGTGCATGGATAACTATAATGGAGCAACAATATTCGTTGATTGATTGATTGATTTACATGTGCATGGATAACTATACTGGAGCAACAATATTGGTTGATTTACACATGTGCACAATTAAAAGAGGGGCGAAAGATACCAGAGGGACAGTCAAACTCATAGATCGAAAATAAACTGACAACGCCATAGATAAAAAATAAAAAGACAAACAGACAAATAATAGTACACAAGACACAACATAGAAAACTAAAGACTAAGCAACACGAACCCCACCAAAAACTGGGGGTGATCTCAGGTGCTCCGGAATTGTAGGTAGATCCTGCTCCACATGTGGCACCCGTCGTGTTGCTCATGTTATTACAAATCTGGCAAATAGTCTAATTCGGTAGATTAAACTATACTGTAGTGACAATTATTGGTTGATTGGTTTGATTGATTCAACTTGTCAGTGAAAATATTCACTCCATTTTTTGTAAGAAAATTGACAATTGAACAGTTGTCTTAAATTTCAAGTTGATGTGACCACACCTTCATGTTAAATAACCTTAACCAAAACCTTAATCTGATACGAGACGGACTTACGGACGGACGCACAAAACAGAAAACAAATGAATGTTACAACAATAATAAGCTCATCATTTTTCAGATAGCAAATTCAAGCTTTGGTTTCTGCTTTGTTAAAAGTTTAAGTTAATACATCTTTACTCAATACTTTACTTTATTTCTATTTCTATTTTTGTCATTCATTAGATGTACTTATAACATTTCTGTATATGGATATTTACTAATGATTTCAATTGTTTTTATGTCATGTTGTCTCAGTCTGATTAAAAATAAACAATTGTCAAAGTTTAAGTATTTTCTACAATTTTGAGAAATTGTGAAAATCCATTGTATGCAAAAAAAAAAACGGAAACAATTATTTCCGCAAGACTTGAAATTTTCTGTTAACAGTTTCATATTGATTGACTCGGTGTGATGTAGAGCTTTACTTATTGCAAAGACACCTGGCCATTGTCGAAGACTTATGTTGCACTCTAGATGTCTTCTAGTTATTTGTGTCGTTTGATTGCTGTCTCGTTGGTATATAGCCCACATCTTTTAAACGTAAGTATTTGTTAGTTTATCATTCAACATGTTTAACATGCTTAAGTAATCAGTCTCGGACAAACAATATAAAAATAAGAAGATGTGGTATACTTGCTAATGAGACAACTCTCCACAAGAGACCAAATGACACAGAAATTAACAACTATAGGTCACCATACGGCCTTCAACAATGAGCATAGCCCATACCGCATAGTCAGCTATAAAAGACCCCGAAATGACAAATGTAAAACAGTTCAAACGAGAAAACTAACGGCCTAATTTATGTACAAAGTTATGAACGAAAAACAAATGTGTTACACAGCAACAAACGACAACCACTAAATTACAGCTCCTGACTTGGAACAGGCACATACAGAATGTGACGGGGTTAAACAAGTTTTAAGGCGCCAACCCTCCTCTAACCTGAGACAGTGGTGTAACAGTACAACATAAGAACAAACTATAAAAATCAGTTTAAAAAGGCTTAACTTATCAGATGAATACAAATAGAAATACATCTTAACTTACCAGATGAATACAAATAGAAATACATCCAACAAAAACACAAGAGTGGACGTGGCAGGGTACTTATACATCCCCACAACAAAAAGTCACTAAATACAGATCTGAGAGTACTCGCAGTTACTGACAGCTAGTTCAAAGCCAATAACAACTAATAAAAAAAAAATCATGCATCTAAGACTAAAATATCAATCAATACACATCCAACATCCAATGGATTTAGTGTAAAGACGTCATTAACAGTCAGAAAAAAACATGACCTTGTGCAATGCCAAGATACAGGTATCGACGGATTGTATAGCCATGAATGTGCATATGTATATATAAATAATATTTAGTTTGATTTTAATTTACTGATAACAAAATCAATATTAGTACCAATAAAAACAATATTCAAAGATCTATTTATAGTGTTGAATTGGTAACCTTTTAAAATAAGTTTATTTAAAGGATCGATAAGTTAACCCGGATCGTTTCTAAATTTCCGGGCTCGGTAAACAACATTTCCGTTAAAATTAGGATGTGCTATCCCGTTTGAAATAAGTTTTCTACAGGTACAACCAAACTTCAAAACCAAATCTTTATATCTATGGAAGAATTTAGTAAAGGTTTTAAGTAATTTGTGGTAACGAAATCCCTGACTTTAATAATTTTCCAGTAATACATAGATTACGTTCATTGAAATCCAAAACGTCACAACAGTCACGGGCATAGCGAACGAGTTGTGATCTTCTTATCTCTATTAAAGGGGCGCAATTGGTGCCCATAGGTATACCTTCAACCTGTCAATAAACATTATTGCCGAAACGTACATAAATATTGTCAAGTAGAAAAATTAACACCTCCAGGAAGTATATCTAGCATATTTACCTTTCTCATTAGAGAAGAAAGCTATATGTTGAAGGCCGTACTTTGACCTATAATGGTTTACTTTTACAAATTGTGACTTGGATGGAGATTTGTCTCATTGGCACTCATACCACATCTTCTTATATCTATTAAATGAGTTGCAGCAAATATATTTGCATTCAGATTTACCAAACGACCATTTAATTAAATAGGAAAACTTTTGGTTGATAAGATTGTGTGGAAGTGTAGTGTAAAGAGTTGAAAAGTCAACACTGTCAACAGAATCAAAAGGACCATCAAAAGCACGTAATTTATCTAAAACATCCAAAGAATTTTTTACACTCCAAAAATAGTTAATTCCACTGTTTTCATATATTTTATTACAAAAGTTAATGATAAGTTCTTTGATAGTAGTTAAGGAACTACTTAAAAGCAATGAAATATTTGTTGTAGAACACTTACTAGAGGCCGAAATGAAACGATATTTTACTGTTTTTTTTTTGTGTAGTTTAGGTAACCAATACATAGTAGGGACCTTCCAATGTTCAGAAGAGGCCTTAAGCTGTGATGTGGTTATGATATGATTGTTTACGATATGACTCTCTGTGGAGCGTACGGACTTGAATGTAGATGAATTTTAAATTTCATTCTTAATAACGTCCGTGTAGTATGTACGGCATACCACCACCACATTGTTGGCTGCTTTGTCGACCGGTAAAACCACAAACCGCTTTGAAAGTACTTGAAGTTTGTTTCTTATTCTAGAAATAGGCGTATCATATACTCTTTTATTTATTTCTGAACTATTTTCAAAATGTGATATTCGAATATCGATAACATGCATACATTTATCTAAATAAGAATCAAGAGATTTTTTAACAGATTTTTCCCAAGACTGTTATACTGTATTAGCCACGGCTGTCATTCGGTATATCCAGAAAACTTATCGTGAAAGAATAAATGACGTAGGTCAAGTATTTCGATTTCGTGAAACATCTGTCTGGAATGGGATCGTGAAGGAAATCTTACCGAGAAGACACATGCAAGGTCAATAGATAATCAAATTTATTGAATTATTATACTGACAATTTTTAAAAAATAGAACTGTCTGTCAAAATTGTTCAACATTAGGAACGTCTTAGAAAATCTTTAAGTTTAAAATATCACTGTTTTACAAAACTACAAAAGGTAGATTGCTCTTCAACATTTCAATGTCATCAAAATGTAAACAAACATTTTTTTTATTATATGAATGACTAAATTACTATTCTATAAACAATGTTGTTCAATATTAATGTTTCAAATGGCTCTCAAATTATTTTTGAAGTAGCTTAATCAAACAAATGGATCAAAATTAGAATATTTGTACAAATTTGAAATTTAAGATCGTGAATAATCGGGTAATGCATTTTTGAGACCATTAATAGGATCGTGAAAGATCCTGTGTCACATATATGTCATTGCACCAATTATTGAAAGTGCTCAAATCATTTTTTTTATTACATGTATATAAAACCCGCTGCATTTGTATGCACCTGTCCTAAGTCAGGAGCCTGTTGTTCAGTGGTTTTCTCGTTTTTTATATAGATTAGACCGTTGGTTTTCCTGTTTGAATTGTTTTCGTATATATACACTAGTCAGTTTGGAGCCCTTTATAGCTTGCTGTTCGGTGTGAGCCAAGGCTATGTGTTGAAGGCCGTACTTTAACCTATAATTGTTTACTTTTTACACATTGTGACTTGGATGGAGAGTTGTCTCATTGGCACTCATACCTCATCTTCTTATTTATATATATGAATTTATCATTTGATTGGTACAGCAAAAGACTGGACTTCAATGACTTTTCCGATTAAATTTTTGTGTGGGAATAATCTGTAAGCTATGATGATGGTCCAATTAATTAAATTAAGTGTAACTATTATGCTGTTCTAAATTGATTAGTGTTGTCCAAATTCCGGTAAAAACTGAGCCTCTATATATAAAATAAAAAACAAAAAAACAAAAAAACACACAAAACTTGAGAAAAATCTTTTTGTGTCACAATACGTCATTCTGAGTTGGTTCCCGGTGTGAAAAATTATTCATTGGCTGCCATTTTCGAAATGACCGTCAAAATGTATGAACAAATGCATAAAAGAAATTTAATATATAAATAGAATATATCGCGAAATATATCAAGGTTTAAAATTGCTGTGTTTTAACGTTTCAGAGACACACAATGCTTAAATTGCGGCGGTAGAAACAATGAATGATGCGAATAAAAGAGAGGCGAAAGATACCAAAGTGACATTCAAAAACATAAGTCGAAAACACTGACAGTGTCATGCCAAAAAAAAAAGAAAAGAAAAACGAACAAAAGACAAACAGTATATAAAATACAACATAGAAAACTAAAGACTTAGCAACATGAACCCCACAATAAACCGGGCGTAAGCCCAGGTGCTCCAGAAGGGCAAGCAGATCCTGCTCCACATGTGGCACCTGTCGTGTTGTTCATGTAAGTACAAACTCCATGGTAAGTCACATTCGGTAGGTCACATTCGAAGAAGAGGACGGGATCGTGGTTACGATAATTGAAAATTATCCGTCGTCATCTTGAAACAGATATTCCACAACAGTCAACACACTCATGATGGCGTCCGTAAAATTGTCAAAGGGATGCTTTTAACTTCACCACTTGAAACTAATGGTTTAATAGCTTCCTTGTGAGCAGAAACCCTTTACCAAACAAATCATGATAGGAAATGTAAGCTCTGGGATAACCTATCAACTGGGAGATATATACTCCATATGCAGGCGCGTCTGGACTATTATTACATAGAAAAGGAAGAAAAGGAAAGTTTACCAATTGGAGGCTGAAATCATCTCTTTTGTCGTAAAGTTTAGTTCTCATCCGACCCTCATTGCGTGAACCCCTTAGGGTTCACGCATATTTATTAGTTAGAAATATAGTCTATGGAGGAATATTCGGAAGCTAAATTATTGTTCATTCGGAACACCTATTCATCTTATCTGTATTAGCTTCCTGCAATTAAGAGCACCTCCATACGGTGTATCTAAGATATTTAAAACATGGCAATAAAGAATTTTTTAAGATCGCTTATTCACTTATCTGATATATGATAATAAACAATCTATAGATCCTTTTCAAACATGTATATTTATTGTAAAGCTACATTTTATGCACTACAAGGGTTTACTGACTTGAGCAAAGTTGACAGTTGTACCCTTTGATAAACAAGTGAAAGTTAAATGGTCAAGATTTAATTATAACGACCTATGGTATCAAACATCTGTGTCTAGATATTCACAGAGAGATATTTTGAAATAGTGCTGTGGTTTCTACATAATGAGTTATAGTGGGCTTTGGGATTTGATTTGTAACAATAAAATCATTATGCACACTTGTCATTTTGAAAAATCAGATAAAAAAAAATCTGTTTCAAATGAAAATAAAACAAGTAAAATAAAGACTGTACGTTAATATACATTTTTACAACTTTTACTATTTCCTTTTTACAGTATTCTCTATCAATTAAGTTATCTTGTAAGTTAATTAAATGTTTATTTAATTCATTGATGTCACTATTATTTCAGTGACCGCTGCAGAAAGTCTTGACTTGTTCATGAGACTACTGCATGCACAC